CCCCATGGGCAGGCGACCCTGTCCGGGTTGCATAAGGGCCTGCCCTCAGAAGGGCAAACCCATGTCGAGGGGAAGAGGGAGAGTGGTAGGCAACCGACGGCAGACCCTAAAACGGGGACCACTGCCAGAGGCGGCGGGCCACTGAGTACCTCAGCACCCTATGGGCAAGCTACCCTGCAGGGAAGTGTCCACATGCTATACGAGACTGCCGAACTCAACGAGTTCGGCAAAGTCGAAGCTCCAGTCGACGTAACAATCGAGCCCAACTTCCCCATGAGGAGAATAGCGGGGTCAGAAGCAGTGCACGACGCCGCATATGCTTGGTGGACAAGCATGAGTGGGAAAGAATTCGTACACTGGTATGAACAGGCCGAAGCTGCCTTCAAAAGTGGCAAGGTACACAGAACCCTTCACGAAAAAGCGAAGGAAACTGAGAAATACTTCTTGGGACTCCCGAGTATTGCAAGACTCACAGAGGAGTATAATTCCCTGGAGAATAAGGGAAAAATCTCCTGGGAAAGTCTAGGCAAAGCCGCCTATCTAAAGTCCCAGTTCAAACCACTCAGGACTCCTCCTGAGGAACGTGCTGCAAGAACTGCGGAATGGGAAGCGAAAGCTTCCAAATACCGGGAAAGAGACACAAGTCTCTGCGCTGGACAACCAGCCCAATGACCACCCTTCCCCACAGGAAGAACGGTAGACCTACCGTACTCTACACCTGAGCCAAGTAGCTCAGGAACACAACAACCCACTCCCACCCAGGGAGCGCCCACTTTGTCGAGCCCACAGCCCGACAATGTAGCCCAGGCCACGTCATCGCATCCAATGCAGCAATCGGATGTCCAGATGAACAACCCGGAGGAAAACCCTCCTCCGGGGCAATGACTCCACCCTTGAGAAAAGGGAAAGTGACACAGTAATATGCCATTGAGGCGCCCGTGAAAACACCTTCCCCCAACTCGAGGCCCCGCACACAATACTGTATGCAAGGAACCACAAGTAACAATTATGGAAATCTCCACTCCATCAAAAGACCCACATCCACCACCGCTCATGTGTAAACACCACTTACACACAGACCCTCACGGAACAAGTGAGGAACACCAAAGACATACAACCTTTGGGTCAAAATTCATTTTTGACAAACTCCACTATTTTTCTCCCTGCAATACCAATGTATTGCTGTTCACTTCAAAGTAATGGCCCACACTCATTTATTCCTTAAACCCTCTCTCTCTCCTTCACCGACATGTACAAAATCGCCCACTTTAAAGTGGCGACAACAAAACACTCATTGATAATTCCAAACTCAATGTAAATCAATTATTAAAACTTTGTTTTATTCACTATCAACCTTGTATGCATCGCAAATGCAATGCAAGGGGGGAGAATGTCAGGGCAATAGCCCCGAACCCTGAGCCACATGTAAATTAGATACATATAGTCACGTGGGTAAGCGGGAACCTCCGGGTAACTGCTTACACACCACCATAAAATACACATACTTGTATCACTTACGGCCTTGTGTGCTGAGCTACCCAAAGACCTCACAAGACTAGAGGGGGAATCCAAGTTGATATACGAACTGAGGTACATCCGGTGTAACCTACATGCATTATAAACACAAGTAACTAAATAGGCCCATCCTGCCCGCTATCATCATCATCATCCATCCACCCGTTACCCTCATCTGCACTTCCTCCCCTGCACACGTACCTCCCAACCTAGGTTGCCCACTTCATTATTGTCCACCCGCCAGCTGGACGGCTTGTCAGATGGCTGGATGGTCTTTTCTCTTGCGGACTATTGTTCCTCCTTTTGTTCCTTGCTTGCCTTTTGTTGACCAAGTTTGCCGATATCAACTATTTGTTTCTTTCTTCATACATTAATATTGCGCTTGATCCGCCACTCCTTCCAGGCCGGTCCAAGTGGCACTAGGATGCATTGACAGAAGTGATGGATATGTTGGGTCGTGACATTGGCTAGCAGTGACTTGGTGCTCAATGGAGCATACCGGTAGTGTGGGATACTGGGGCTCCCAAAGGGAGTCACCCTGTTGGTGGCTATCAGTGACTTGGCACTCACAGGAGCGTACCAGTAGCGGGAGTTGTTGGGGAAAGCAGGCTGGTGGACTGTTACAGGAATGGGTTCCGGGGAACCCAACCTGAGCTGTTCTGCTCATGGATGGAGGTGGTTGTGTAGCCATTGAGGGGAGAGCAGGAGGAGATCTGAGGCCAGGTGGGCTAACGGTAACTTGGCACTTTGAGGAGCATACCGGCAGCAGGTATAGTGGGGGCTCCTTGAGGGAACCACCTAACAGTCAGCTAGTGGTGACTTGGCACTCATGTGAGCGTACCAGTAGCGTGGGTAGTTGGCACTCCTTGAGGGAGTAGCCCAGTGGTTGACTATCAGTTACTTGGCGCTCAGGGGAGCGTACCGGTAGTGGGATTTGTTGGGACAGGCAGGTTGGTTGACCAGAGCACAGTAGTGAGTGACCGTGGGAATTTGGGCCTGCGGGTACGTGGCCAGGCATCCTGGGGCTGCCTGAGTCACCTCTCCCTGCCAAGAAGGGAGGAAGGGTTGTAGGACCCAGTAGGGTACTACAGGAAGGGTAGGAATGGGAGCTCAACCACCCAGTGGGGGGGTGGGAGCAGGAAGGGTGAGGTGCGGTGTCTGAACACTCACTGGGCCATTGAGGTTTTCTCACAGATTGCAAGAATATCGATGTAGACATCGATATGGACCAAGTCAGATGTTACAGAGAAGGCTTACAGTGGTGGCACAATGGTGTGGCAGTTACAATCACGGTACAAGGTTTTGTGGGTTATGTATTAGATAAGGAAAGACATTTTTCGGCATCTGCCTTACACATCATATGACTTCTAACTATCTAATATAAAAGTCACAATGGTCAAGGGAAGTCCCTTGAAACCCAACAAATTCCCCAGCCAGCACCAAAACCCAGTGGGAAAGCTTGGCATGGGGTTTGACAATGAAATAAAGGTGCAGGGACCAAAGGTTTGATTGTTCATAGTCACGGACCATAAGATTCTAGGTCCATTCCTATAACATGGACCAGTGCACGGTAGTGGGTGACCGTGGGAAGTGGGACCCGTGGGTGCGTGGCCAGGCATCCTGGAGCTGCCTGGACCATATCCCTCTCCTAAGGAGGTGGGATAGGCTACAGTTCCTGATAGGGAACTTCTGGTTGGATGGGAGTGGGCAGCAGGAGCTTGGGCATGGGAATGCCCTCCTCATTGCAGTTTTGTCATGGAGAGGATGAATAGGGAGGTGGACATGGTTCCAAGGTTACAGGTTGGGTTTACAGTGGTGGCACAATGGTGAGGATGTTACAATCATGGTACAAGGTTTGTGGGTTATGTATTCAATAATGAAAGACATTTTTCGGCATCTGCCTTACACATCATATGACTTCTAACTATCTAATATAAAAGTTATAATGGTCAAGGGAAGTCCCTTGAAACTCAACAAATCCCCCAGCCAGCACCAAAACCCAGTGGGAAAGCTTGGCATGGGGTTTGATGGAGAAGTAAAATGGAGGGAGGCCCTGGGTCCACCTGCTTGCAACCACAGACCATAAGATTCTAGTCTATATCCATAACACTCTCCCCACATTTCCCCATTCCCCCTATCCTTGCCCCCACTGTTCCACACAATGATGCATGTGCACAAACCTGTGGGAATGTTCTGGGTGAGCAACTCACCCAGAAATGCACAGCCACAGCCACAGGAACTTTCTGGGAGAGTAACTCGCCCAGGACACGTGACCATGGGAACATTCTGGGCAAGTAGCTTGCCCAGAACTTTCCCATAGGTCACACCCATTATGGAAAGTCGGCAGCAAGTGGGAACTGTATAGTTCCTAGGGTCCTTTTGTGTTGGCCTCACAGGGGGCTGAGAAGCTTATTCTTCTCAGCTCATTCCCTGTGAAGGCTGAGGCTAGTCCCCTCAGTGACTTCGAGGCAGCTGGGGAGAGTACCCCAGCTTCCACACCCAGCCTTGCCCTCCAGCCACTCCCAGCTGGGGTCCAGATCCTGACATTTCTGTTTCTGAGGTTTAATTTTATTCAAGGTTGAACTTGTCCAGTACACTAACCATTCGTTCCTTGAATTTTCTATGTTTTCATCAGATAAAAGAAAGTCATAAGAAAAAAAAAGATTGCATAAGGAAACATAGTTTTGTGGCTATACAGGTTTTGGACCTTTGGTACTTGTGATTGGGAATACTAGGAGTAGCTTCAGGTCCAACACTATTCCTTGGTATTATACTCCTCCCTCCACCATTCCTCTTTTCACTCTACAGGCCATATTTCTTCTGCATACAATACCCTGTTATCCAACTGATAAGTTTCCATCACCACTTGCAGTTCCTCCAATGTATCCATGTTGAGTTGCTGGACTCTTCCATAGATTTGATCTTGAAATTTGCAATAGAATGTGAGTGGGTTATTTTTCTGTGGAATAGTCAGATGCATCATTGCATGGTACAAATGTTCCCAGAGTATTCTCCAAGAATTCCATAAATGGAACTCCATTGACTTTACCACATGATACTTGGAGCAAATCACAGCTTCCAAGAGAATCCTTCCGAAGATCAGTTCCATTACCTCTTCTGATCATTGGCATGGTTTAAACAGACTTCCTAATCAACACGGATGTGCTTGGAGATCCATTTCATCTTGGACTAGATTGAGACAGTCCCAGGTTGTCTTCCAGGTTCTATCCAGGTCGGATTCTAAATGGGTTAGATGGTTGTTTAAGACCACATTAATCAATTTTACCCCTTTTGGATATCCCTGATTATAATCGCTCTGCATCTTTAAGTAAAGCAGAAAATGCGGGGGGATACTCCTACTTGAGTGTGTGGGGTGAATTCAAAAATGGGTTCAGCATTGTCATGATTGAGTATGGGTGATGCCATTTTAAATTGGGGAGCAGGAATTCGGGTTTATCTGGAATGGGAGTGGAAATGGACCAGTTTCAGTAATTCCATTTAGCAGCAGCACTACCCATGAGCTGATCACTTGAAGAAGAAGTCATGGGTAGGTCCAAGCTGGAATCACTTGGACATCCATAGGCCAGGTCAAATACTTCCTTCCCATGCATTAAAATATCTGATCTAATTCCGTCATGTTTCTGGAATCCTTGTTGGGCTTTCTCCAAAAGGAAATCTAATTCAGAATCCGTTCCCCATTGAACTGAATCCATAGGTGAGTTGGATCCAAAAGTAGTACTTTCTTCATCGACTTCGGTTTCCTCAGGATTTCCTGTTCCTTCATTCTCTTTTGTCAGTTCCTTCTCACATCATGTTAAGTGGATGACTACACACTGAGGAAAAGAGTCTTGGGGATAGCTGGAGTCTGGCTGGCAGTTATGACTGGGACAGTCTTGAAAACGACTTGAGTGTTTGGGAATTGCATATTGATAAGTTTCTTTCAGATGTTCAGGTGTTAGATGCTGAAGGCTTGTTGAGCCATTGACCCCTGCTGGTGCTGCAGTTTTATAGTTCAATGCCTCTATTCCTCTTGTCTTCATCCTCCTTGGGAACCTATCATTATGCTTGGGTGGTTACACATTCAATTGGCCTAGTCATTCTCAATCTGTTGGCTCAGCCTCATTGTTCTGTCTATCACTCCTTTTCCTCATGTTCCATCATCATTTCTCCTGTCTCCTTCATTCACTTGTGTCATATCCATCCCCGGCCATCAACTTCCGATCCCTCTGACTCCTCCGCTCTACCTCTGCTCCTTCTTCACTAACCTTGGAGCTCTCGTATTCCGCAATCCCCTCGGTACCCCTCGATGGTCACCACCCCCTCCTTTCAATTTATTACCTACACCTCCCTAAGTACGGAGCCCCGAAGGCTTCCAGACAGCTCCAACATCCGCTAGTGCTGAAAGAGCGGAGCTGGATCACCTTATGTAACCAGTTTCCTATGTCCAATAACGATATTAGAGTTTGTGCTGATTTGCATACTGACCGTGTTTTGGTTGCCAAATATATAATTGTTCACTGTCTAAACAACACTAAACACCCCCCAACGATCTCACCTGACGTATAGATCGTCTACGGATAAAATTCTATATTGACTTTACTATGATTTCTAGTCAATATTACACCTAGATATACCACTTTTCAGTAGGACATGATTTTCCTGATAATTTACTGAAGGAAAACTACTGATAAAATAATTCCGCAATAAATGTCACTCAATACAGGAGTGACCAAACTGATCTTTCTATTGCTTAGAGTGCGTGCTAGTTATCTAGCAGGTTCAGGATCACTCACTTTTCTCCTGTGGTGTGATAACCAAGTATTGCTGAGAGATTATTCAATTAAGAAGTCCCTCCACCAAACTCTCACTAATTCTCACTATGACACTTTTGTTCAGCTGTGTCTAACTGACCCTAACTCACGCTTAAAGTGACGTGTTAGTTTTATATTAGCTAACAACTAATATTTGCTTTTATCTTTTGGAGCAAACCAACCAACCACTGGTGAGGAGAATTAAACTTTTATTTCTACCTGAGGTTTGAGAGGGGGCAGAAGCGGCGGCCTTTTATGCTTTTAAGAGGCCTCTCTGCTCCCACGCCTCGCACTAGTTACATGTGCTACATTTGTATTATAGATAGTTCTAGAATGATATAGGGGCTTGGGCTGTGTAAGCTTAATAATGAACTTAGGACATGACTCAGCAATAAGTAATTCATTTCTTTGTCTTTTGGGCCGATCTTAGCGGGATCTTGTAGCGCTGAAGCTATGCTCTGCACAGCCTTAATTACGAACGGTTATCTTTAGAAATGACAGGAACTTTCTAGACTGTTCTCTAATTGACCCCTTTTTGTGAAGCTGCATCATTACTAATGTTCTAGAGCCTTCCCAATTAATTAACTGATCCGCGGACTTTTGAATCACTTTATGCTTATGTTCCGAGATCCAGATCATCAATCATTCCTTTGTTCCGATTTATTTGAGCTTAAAATCAAAAAGTTTTGATGAATCATGGGAAAATATACAAGATCCGGTTTTTTAGCATTTTCTCCTCTTCTGATGCGATGAAAAACTGTCCGCCTGCGCCGGAAAATGCTCTGTCATATGGTATTCGGTCCACCAGACTTCCGGGTGCCAATATATTTCCCTTGAGTCACATTACTTTTTATAAGAATTAGCAAATAAATATATATGAATTATAAGGTGTTTCGCCGTTTGAGCGATATCTCCGTCAGTCTTGAAGCTTTTAGAATGAAACAAAACCGTGGATAAAGTTTAGAAACAGTTCTTTCAGATGGAAAAAAGATTACAGTCAAAGGTTTACTGGTTCCCGAGATATTCACATTTCTTTCCCAATGTTCCTTCTTATTCTGCCATCTATGTGCTATTTTCTTGTTGTAGGGATATATTCTTTGAATATTACACCTATGCCAGGTTCTAGGCATGCTTGTAGTAGATTAAATCTCATGCTACATGGGTGTAGATAATTTATAATGATCTTCTAATGTCTGTCCAGTCTCATAAAGATCATGAGATCTGTTAAACGTCTGAACTTGTCACCTGTTTGTTGACTATTCTGATAGATCATTGTTTTATTCTTTGAATATTATTTCTCCTACAGCACACTCCCACCTCCGCTGGGCAATACACTCGCTTGCCCTGCAGAGCCCACCTTCGGGCCTATCCACCCTTTCCGTTTCTGGGTTATCACCTGCCTTTCCGTTAACCCCGCAACCCGACTTGTCGGCAATATTCAATCGGCTAATGTTTAACCCTGTTAGCTCCACTCCGCTCGGCTCCACCATTTGCGGACCTGCCCTCGCTGTAACTATATATACTCAACTTGTACATAGGTTACACTTCAGTAATAAAATCGACTAGAGTTTACCCCCTTTCAGTTCTGGTTGCCAGCTTTGTAAGTTAGGGCACAGACATGTTACTTGGCACAGCGCTCCTGGCACAAGTCGCTGAGGCTGAAGCCCTCCGCCATGGAGACACTCCTTCGTCTCAACCCAGTCTCTGACAACTTGTCTAGTTTGGTTGTCCATTTTTCATGGGTTTGATTACTTCTTTCCCCCTTTTTCTCATTCTCACTACACTAATCAGCCTCATGTTCCATTGTTCTACTATTTCTTTCTCCATCATTTTTGCACTTCTCAGATCCTTGGCTTGATTATCATCGCGTTGTTGTGGGGACAAGTCTGTGCAGGCTAAAACAAGCCTCATTGCACACTTCACCCTTTACTGCATCAAGGATTAGGATTGGTGAGTCGGGGTAATGGTAGGAGTTGTAGAGACTGTGGAGGTGGTTCTGACGAGCTCAAGACCGTCGGATTTGGTAAACTGGTTGAGGAGATATGACTTTTTCTCTACCTTCCTTACTATTTTCATTCATTCATGCATGTGACTTTCCTTTTATATTTGTATCGGACTCTTCCATGACAACTGTACAGACAGTTAGTTAGAGGTTAGACAGAGTATCAGCATTGTACTCCCAAGGACCCATACAACCTACCTGACTAGAGAGAGAGACCTACCCCCCCCAGACCTGAGTTGCAAGTCTAGTTGGATAGACCCATTACAGCATCAACTCATCAAATGTTGCCTTGCACTTCTCGCACTGCTTAACTTGATTACCAACATGACAACCATCAACCCTTGCCTTTTACTCTGCCAATTTCCCACCTGATTCACAACTCTCAATCTCTTCTTGGTATTCTCATGTCCATGCACTGCATGGTTTATCGTTCAGATCCTGTGCACCGCCTAAAGTTCCCCTTCTCCTTGGATTATTGGTTTTTCCCCGATTGAGCCTCTACTTTCCCTATCCATCCACTCCTTTATTTCTCTGCCTTCGGCTTCAACTTCCAGATCTCGCTCCTCAACTCAACTACCTGGCAACTTCTACTTCCTTCCAATCCTGTTTCCTCTGATGTGACTCTTATTTCCTCAAGGTCCATCGCTCCTTTATTTTGTTCCCTCTGCCACTCAGATCTTATAACTATTCCCCTTGTTACTTTGTACATGTGTCATCCTCCACTCATCATGGCATATCTGGCCCTGGTGGATCACCTTTTCTTTTCCATTGCAACAAGGTTGCAATGTATTTTTTCCCACTGCAATCAACTGATGGTACTTAACCACCTTGGCGATCTGCTTGATGAGTTCAATGGGTGCTTGTACTGCCTTGACAATTCATCAACAGATTTCCAAGTTGGATTAATGTCTTGATTTCAATCAGTCATGATTAGGTATAAATCATGAATGCCTCATTGCATTCTCATTTCTTTGGAGCCTGGAATTTGTGAAATGATCTGCCTGACAAGTCCATGATGTGCATTGGCTTTTGCCATTCATGCATTGTGGGTTTTTCAGGTTGATCTTGAGCCTTTTCCAGGTATAACCGGATTTAGGATGGACATAGCACCTTAGACACATGTTCCTTGAATGAGCGAATTGCACCACTAAGGTATGTTTTTTTTTGCTTTGCCCCCTTTTCATTTACTTTTCTTTAGGTAATGTATAACCCAATATATCGGTACTGTAACCTTGATGTAAACAAAGAAGTTTTGAATTAGGGAGTATATAAATTTTAAGAAAGAGAGTGAGAGTAGATTAAATAAATGATTAAAAAAGGAAAAAAAATTAAACAAAGAGCGAAATTGTCAGAGACCAGGTTGAGACGAAGGAAAGTCTCCGTGGTGGAGGGCTTCGGCCTCAGCGACTTATGCCAAGAGCGCTGTGCCAAGTAACACATCTGTGCCCTAACTTACTAACTGGCAACCAGAACTGAAGGGGGTAAACTCTAGTCGATTTTATTACTGAAGTGTAACCTATGTACAAGTTGGGTATATATAGTTACAGTGAAGATGGGTCCGCAAATGGCAGAGCCGAGCCGAGTGGAGCTAACAGGGTTAATCATTAGCCAACTGAATGTTACCGATGAGTTGGGTTATGGGGTTAACGGAAAGGCAGGCGATAACCCAGAAATGGAAAGGAGGGATAGGCCCGAAGGTGGGCTCTGCAGGGCAGGCGAGTGTATTGCCCAGCGGAGGCAGGAGTGCGCTAGCGGACGTCGGAGCTGTCCGGAAGTCTTCGGGGCTCTGTACTTAGGGAGGTGTAGGTAATAAATTGAAAGGAGGGGGTGGTGACCATCAAGGGGTACCAAGGGGGTTGCGGAATACGGGAGCTCTGAGGTTAGTGAAGGAGGAGTGGAGGTATACTGGAGGGATCGGAAGGATCGGAAGTCAATGGCTGGGGATGGATATGACAGAAATTGTGTATATACATTAGGTCATGATTGACCTTTTGTAAAGAAATTTTGGAAGAGAAAAAGAAGGAAGGAATGATGGAAGGGTGTTGCCATGCTGATCCAGATGATTATGGAGCCAAACCCACCCTTACTTGCTCACTACTTCCCCAAGCCATG